CCCCACATGCTCGTTTCCCAAAAGAAGAATCTGAAGTCTCAACTGCTACAGAGTTAAAGGAATATTTTAATTGCAAATAAGTTAATTTTAACATAAACAGATAATGAAGATAAGCCTACAGACAAAACAGCAACAGCAACCTGCCAATTTCAAAGAGAAAAACCTCTCTATGCTGTTGTTTAATGAATTTTCCTCCAGGCAGAGCTTTAAAACAAGGGAAACATTTCATTATGGGTCAATTTGGGGGTTTAGAATATTGATTTTTATGTTTAGACAACTCTTTTCATAACCAAGCAGAAGCAGCTTGAAGATTCTTTCAAATAGCCATTGCAGACCAACAATGCGCTGGAGTGTTGCTGCCGCAGAATAACTTCAAATAGAACTTCCAACTGAAGCATTAGGCAATTTCAAAAGGAAAATGATTCCACCAAAGTGAATTTTTGCATGCCAACAGATTGATGATAAATCTAGTGATGAATTGTCCTGATTTAATTCAACAAGTCAAAAAGAGTGCATACACAATCACTTCTGGATTATCTGTGCAAAGAATAGCAAACAGTAGGAAAAAATAAAACCTCAAAATAACCCTAATACAGACAAGTCCTGTAAACTCAGATCTATAGAGAATTCCAACCTTCTGAACCAATTAAATGGAACAAAAATTCTAAAAGTTATGTCAGCCTATAATCTTGGATGTGTATTATTTAAATTTACTAGCAAAATATGCCCATGTTTTACTAAAAGAATAAATAAGTAGACAAAAATGAAAGGAAAGCAAAATTCTGAATTCCACAGCTATAGATCAAGAATCTCAGGAATTCATGATTTCAGCAGAGGGAGTACCCAAAAAAACCTGAAATTCAGAAAGTTCTGCAAAGCACTAAACGTGTTTAAAATATAGGCAGAAAATACTGCTCATTATATATATCATTAAGGTAACAACTGACTAGCAAATCATAAAGCAGATCTCCAAAAGTTTTCAAAAGTCTACTGAAGTTCCTTTTGCACAAGAATGCATCTGACATTACGTTAAGAAACAGACTCACTGCCGACAGGACTCCTGCAGAAGCCGATACCGTGCCTTTCACCCAAACCTTGCTCAACATGGCACATGATATTTGTTGAAGGATTAGAGTTGCCTGCACTGTCTCTCTCCTCCTTCCACTTCAAAAAACAGAATACTATCTTGAACTTGACTATATTTACTTTCCAATTTCACCCTTTTGAGCAAAAAAGGAAAACTGGACAACCAAAGGCTTTATAATCCCTACAAAGAATAGTAAATAGTCTTCCCATTCCTCCAAAAATGAGATTGGTCATAGGTCCCACAGACATACAAAATACCCCGTGGAGACATTTCTGCCTCTTAATGTAACTCAGGAGAGGGGGATCGGGCATTTCTACAACCAAACTCCTATCAAAGAATCGTTCATATTTTCAATATTCTGATTCTAAGCCTGGATGATGAGTTAATTCTTCAAGTGTCCTTACTCCTCCTGTCCCAAACACCTAATTTACGCATATTGTCATCCTTTAAAAAAAGGAGAGCAGGGCTAATTTCCATCTTTATAGCTGTTTCGGCCAGATTCAAGTTCAGAACATCCCAACATAATCTATTTCTGATTATACTAAAAGAATGCTCTAAAAAGATCAGATAAAATGAAAATAAAGTGAAATTTTTCTATGCTCTCCACCAAATACTACTTTATTTACAACTTGGCTCTAAGAAAGGCGGGGAAAAGACTGCAGGCATTCTAAACTCATCGGATGGTTGTGAGTGCAAAGAAAAGAATGATAAACACCTGACGACCATGCCATAAATTCTGATGCAGTGAAGGTCACAGACAACTCCAAAAATAGCACTGTGCTGTTCCTACACACAGTTTTTCAATTCTCAACATATGAGAGGAAGCCCCATCTTGTATGGATGAATTCTGGCTTAATTGTCATGCAGATTTTGGAAGTTCAGCAGCATTAGGACTCAACACATTTCAGATTGTACTACTGTAAAATAAATTGGTCCCAAAAACTTGAATGCATGTAGCTAACATTTCAGCATGTAAAGCAGACTTGGTTTTGGTTTTAGCACAAGATTATAAAGAGACTAAAAATCACTTTATAATTATAACGTATTTCTAAGTTTGACAAGAAACAAGACACTATCTTTGGTTGTCTCCTTTATACTCAACCTGTTTCCAGGAACAAACTATCCTTTTTCAATAATAGTTGGCTGTTGAAGTAGTATGAGATCATCTTTAAAGTACACTCATTACGCTTCCATCAGGAGAGAGCTCCTCTCTTTTGGGTATATATCTTCGCATTTCACAAATACCAAATACTCATTTGTACAAAGCCTAGTTCAGGTTAATGTTGTTAATCATTAACAACAATTTAAGCTGTAATCCTCTAAGGTAAATCCTCTGAACCTCATTATCCTCATCCATAATAAGAAGACACTTGAGAAGAATATTGGAGATTATGTGTTCAATATCAAATTCTGTTATTCTAACTGGTTAATCTGTTAAGGCACTATCTTTAATCATTAATAATTTTATTAAAAATATTAAAGTAAATCATAGAAATCCCTTATTCAACTTACCAATTTATTCAAATGGTACAAATTGTGTACTAAGTACTAGAATATAAAATAAACATGTGGTTCCCCATACTCACGAACTAGAAGTCGACTTGGGGGCAAAGACACATAAATCAAAATTATAGCAAAGCTATCCTGATATAGGTAATACTAAAGATCTACTGAAAACCAGCGGAGGTGATAACCAATTCTGCCTCGATGTTACTCATTGTGTTAGTTGTGGAAGGTTTCATTAGGAAGCGTTACTCAAACTGGGCCTTAACGATCAACTGAAGTTTGCCTGGCAAAGAATCAACAGTAGAGGGGGGTGGAAGGGAGACATCCTAGGCAGAGCCAGAACAACATGTGCAAAAGACAGAATCATAAAAGGGAATTAAGTATTTATGGAAAGGTGACATGTTTCATGTGACTGAAGTACCACTCATCAGTATCAGGGTAGGGAATGACTCTTGTATATGCTTCATGATGAACAACTGGCCAGCTTCCTCCTTCTCCATGTTTTATCTCAAAATCATTTTTAAATTCAGACCTTTTAGACCATATAAAGTCCTAAAACTTCACAAAAACGTAAGTTCAAAGAGGAATTACCAACACTAATTCTTATTCCTTTCTTAACTGTTACATATCCTTATATAAAGCAACTAGTGGGATATATAAAGTAATAAAGGAAATCTTCCCCACAATTACCCAATAGTACAAATTCACTGTATCTACGATAAGCAAGTATAAGCAGAAACAACTTAAAGAATGCATTTTCTTAACAAAGACAACCCCTGTATTTCTATAGCATTTTACTGGAGGAACTGAAACAAAAGTAATTAAATACTCACCAAGTTTAAGCTGCCATTTTCTAAGGAGGGCGTGTTATAGATAAATTAAGTAACAGCCACTTGTGTTGGACAATGAAGAATATATGCTAGAGATACATCTATGCTAAAGAATATACACTGGAGAAACACAGGTTGTTACCAATTCTTTAAGACAGTGAAGTGTGATGTAAGCTGGCTGTTTGGATCTCCTCACTACAGACAAACACTATGGAGGAGGCCAGAGTCTCCAGCCAAATGAAAGACCAGTCTAGCATTTAATTCAAAACATAACAGAGCCAAGTTGAAGTACTGACAGTACAGAATCTAACCACCATATATCACACAGTTTCTTTGTAACAATAAATGAAAAGTTCTAACTGCTCATGCCTGGTATATAGTATCTTCCTCTTTCCCATTTTTTCAGTTCTCCCCCCTGCTCTCTTCAGCACTAGTTGCTCTCAGAAATGGAGCTGTCAGGTTGACATGGATTTTCAGGCAATGTATAGACACGAGGGAGAAAATGAAATCTGGCCACTGGAGTAATGTAGTAATATTCTGATTAACAATGATATATCAACAAATGTTAACAGCCATTATCTCTGGACAATGGCAGTTATTTTTTAAATTCCATTTCTCATTTTTCTTATTTCAAAATGTATGTAGATGTATCCTGATTGACAACAAAATATTCCCAAAAGTTAACAGCTATTACAACTGTCTCAACAGCTATTACAGCTATCTCAACAGTTAATTTTTAATCTATACCTAGTTTTTCTAGAATAATGTGTTGTTTCAAGTATTATTTTGTTTTATTAATTAGCACAATAATTAATTAGGGAGTAACTAATTAATTACTTAGGTAGAATAGCCTGTGGGAGCTCAGAAAGAAAGCAAATGGAAACCACTGCTCTTAAGTACAGGACATTTGTGAACAGGAACTGTCCGTGGTAAACAGCGAGATAATGATCATTCTATTACTATGCCTCTGAGCCCGACAGTCTTCGGTACTTAATATTGTCTTGTTAAAACATTACTTAAAACAGCATATTCTACAAAGCTATAAAATCATAAAAAGGAATGATCTGAATCCATTGTTCTGCTAAAACACTTCCCTTTAACTATTTTATTTTCGACTAAAGTTAATATCCAGAGAAAAAATTATCGCATGTGTTTCTTTTTATGAGATTTGCTCTGGAGCTATTAATACACTAACATTCACCACAGTTACACTCACAGAGAAACAGTCTTAATGAAACTATATGTAAGAATTTTTGCCCAAGGAAACAGCCCAAAACAAGGTGCACCCTAAACCAAATTATACTTCTAGTCATTTTAAGAGGAGGAGGCAAAGACTGAAGTTACTACACTCCAAATACAAGACAAATGAGACATCATTGTGACCATCACCAAAAAAGACAGACACTCAGAGAGACAGAGAAACGTGTGTGCGCGTGTACACACACAGGCTAGAGAGACGTTTGCTGTCATAAATACAATAATGTTGAGGAAGATAAATTAATACAAGCTTGTGTTTTACGTGTTCAGAAAATAGGTTACACATATGATCCTAATCCCTTTACTATTTTAAATTCCAGGCTACCTAAAAGAAGACAGTGATCGCACATTTGGCTGTCAGCTTTTTATCTTTCCTTTGCCATTTAAGACTTAGACTTCCTGCCTTCCTGGCATCATGGAGAAAGTCCAATACCTCACTCGCTCTGCTATAAGAAGAGCTTCAACCATTGAAATGCCTCAACAAGCACGTCAAAATCTCCAGAACCTATTTATCAATTTCTGTCTCATCTTAATCTGTCTCTTGCTGATCTGCATAATCGTGATGCTTCTCTGATGTTCGGCTGCAATGTCCAGTGCTGCAACTTATCACCATCAGCTTCAAATCTGTCATCCCACGAAGAGGGGAAAACAATACCATATAACAGACCACTTCCTAAGTAGAAGAATTTCTTTGTGAAAAGGTCAAGATTCAGAACAAAACAAATTCTTAGCAAATGTATTCATCTGCCAGATCTTGTAAACATGAAAAGGGCCTTATTTTCAAAAGTTAACTTTAAAATGACTCTAAGTATGCATAATGTAACTGTTGATTTCCTCAACAGAGCTTGTAAGTTTCTATCCCAAATCTTTTCTGAGGATGAACTAGAGGTTTAGTTTTGAAACTGCACTGCTAACAAGTTCACTTCATATAGAAAGCATTAGCTTCACCCTTTGGGCTAAATATAATTTATATTGTACTGTAAAAGCCTCTTTGATGTTTATTAAGTATTTTTCAGGTCTTCACCAAGTACCAAAATAATCATTCAAATGAAGTGTCATCATTTGAAATAGTCCACTGACTGCTCACATCTGTTATCTTTATTACTATCATAGAAAAGTCTTTGTAGTAACTCTATCAGAACCTACATTCTAAAATAGAAATTGTATTTTTTCTATATATATGACACTTTTTTTTTTTTGAGGAAGATTAGCCCTGAGCTAACATCTGCTGCCAATCCTCCTCTTTTCACTGAGGAAGACTGGCCTTGAGCTAACATCCATGCCCATCTTCCTCTACTTTATATGTGGGACGCCTACCACAGCATGGCTTGCCAAGCAGTGCCATGTCCGCACCTGGGATCTGAACCGGCGAACCCCAGGCCGCCAAATCAGAACGTGCGAACTTAACCGCTGCACCACCGGGCCGGCCCCGACACTACCATTTTTTAACGTTTATGATAATCAAGTAGAAAAAAGTAAGGCTATACTCTTACATAAATTAAATTTCTCTGAACTAATATTTTCAAAGAATTACAGAATTCTAGCACATGTAGGTAAACCATAAATCTGTTCTCGCTAGTACACTATGACCTATAGATAAGAAGTGTTGGTTAATTTAACATCTGACAGTGTGATTAGCCATAATTACTAATACACAGGTAGAATAGAGTCTAACGTTAATTTAAAGTGCAGTAGTTGATTATCTGAGTTAGAGTACGTATCTCGCCATACCATATCTTTGGAATCACGAAATCTTAAGATTTTAGAATGATTTTATAGGTTGTCTTCTAATCTCATATTCAATGTAGGCAAGGAAAAGAATAAAGAATAAAAAATATATTATTTCAAGCATTAAAAAATAAAATTTTAATTCTCTCTCCAAAATTAATTAATTCTTTGATTACACTTTGAAATGAACTTTTTGTCCCACTATGGTTAATGCTACAATAAAACTATTTTCCTTAATTTATCAACCAGATGGTAAACAGCTACTTGGTAGGCCACTCCACTATAGACCCAGCAATGCTAACCTATAATAATGTTCCTGCTGAATACATTTTCAACTTCATTTAAAAATATCTTCCAACAACTCAGAAAACAATAGAAGTAAAAACTGGTGTTGGAAAATACACTCAAGAATATTTGGTAATTTAAAATGACCCAGTTTAAAATTAATTCTAAAATGGTTTATATCTGTACTGCATAATCCAGTAATTTTAACTTCAGTTCACAACATATTACTAATATAGCAATTCTTTTTTTTAAAGATTTTATTTTTTTCCTTTTTCTCCTCAAAGCCCCCCAGTACATAGTTGTATATTCTTCGTTGTGGGTCCTTCTAGTTGCGGCACGTGGGACCCTGCCTCCGCGTGGTTTGATGAGCAGTGCCATGTCCGCGCCCAGGATTCGAACCAACGAAACACTGGGCCGCCTGCAGCAGACTGCACCAACTTAACCACTCGGCCACGGGGCCGGCCCCAGCAATTCTTAAAGGAGTAGAGAATGTGTAATTTAACACATGATTTGCTAAAATATGGCTACTAAAAGAATTTGAGAAGTCAATATAGACCTTGGTTTGTAACACAAATGCTGCTAATGGAAAAGTGAAGGAGACATTGCTGTTAAATTTTTCTGAATCCTGAAAGGTGATGGAGATGAGGAGGGAGACAGTGTTAGTTCACTGATATCTGAAGAATAGAGGAACAAGGGGTCTCGCACTGTCAGGGGATGTCTTGAAGGAAGACTCATCCACGGGTTGGAGATCCCTAATATCAACTAGAAAGCTTATAAATAACAAGCGATACATTCACCTCACTGGTGTCAGTAATTATCCATGCAAAAAGTAACCAAGTTCTATAATTAGCTGCACTGATCTTAAAAATAAGTGGAAAACTTAAAATGATAAGTTCTATTCCTTTTATTACATTGTTCATTACAACATCAACTTAAACTATAAACTGTGAAGTATGGGGTTTTTCCTAAGTAAAACAGAATAAAGAATTTTTTTGTTTTTAATTCTGCCTTTAATAGAAATTAAAAGCTTATACTTGAGGATTACAGAACACTGTAACAGATTATAATGTAAAACAAAAACCTATTCTTTAAATGGAATTTATTTATTCTGTTTATCATGTTGTGTAAAGAGCAAGATGTAATAAAACAATGTATTTAAAAAATTTTACCAAATGCTCAAATACTTTCAACTGCAGAATAAATTCCCATCTTAATTTATAGGGTACTAAAAACAAACTAATTTTTAAACGTTTAATGTTGTCTTTTATATTTTAGTTGGTTCAAAATGTTTACTGAATGCAAATCACCTCTAGTAAAATGAACTTTCTTGAACTCAGTGAAATCACTCTATAATAGACTCATGATTGATATGACCATAAAAAGTGTAATTATAAGTAGTTTTGTAGGTTGATTTTGTAGGTTGCTTTTGATGACTTACCCCAAACAAAATAAGATCAAGATTTCCTATACAGACACAAGAGGGCAGACCTACATAAAATAATGAACTTCCCACTAGTTAAAAATTACTTATCCTTTGATTATTTTTGAGTCTCTGGCAACACAGGAAATCGATAAAATTTCAAAAAGGTTTCAATCTTCTGCTAAATAACAGCACACTTTAAATGTCTAAAAATTATCTGCCAATACTATATAGAAAAGTTGACAGATGAAAAGAAGTCAAACATATTACTAATTTTGCTTATTAAAGCACGTATACAAAAATAAATTATATGCTTTTTAGCTACCTAGTGAATGTGCCATAATGTCATATCCTTTCTATGGAGAGTGTTAACAATGCCCACATCTTTCACTGCACAGTTGTATTATTTTAAACAAAGAAATTAAAGACAAAATGAGGTGCAAAAATAAGACTAAAAATAAGAAAACTTTCTTTCCAGAGGATGTAAACGAACACGTAAAATGCTCTAATGTTAAAATTTTTTCATTCTTATTTTAGACAAAGACCAAGTCATTTAACTTTAAGTCATTTTATCAAATTTTTTATTTATATTTTTGATTTATATAAGAGAAATTCTCCAGTAAAATATGTCGAAATCATTAGGTGCGAATATCTTGACTGATCAGGCCCTTCCATGATTTAAAAAGGCACACAATTTTATCTTCCTCTTTAATGAGTGCAACCCAGAACTTAGAAACATCCTAGGGAATATACGAGAAAAGAGGAACCACCACTTTGTCGGTAAAGAGACCACGTCCTCACTACCATCTGGGAGACCCTGTGAGCTCTAGGAACCCAGTGGGCACTGCTGTGTGTAGAAGCACACACCCTCGAGGCCCTCCCCACCGCTCCCCCTGCTCCCAAAAAAGAAATCTAAGAGGGATCTGGAAAGGGATCCATTCTTTCCAAAGAGATGACGTGACTGTGCTGTTGGTTTTTACCTTCTGTCATAGTCCTTGTGGGGTCAGACAGTATGAGGGGAGGGTGGGCAGAGAGGGGTGAGGGAATACAGAGGAAAGAACCAAGGACAGTGGTGGACACTGCACATGGAGGCCTGTATCCTAACCAACTGAGGGCACAGATGGCTTCTCCACTCACAAAGGAAAAGGCCTCGAGTTCTCTCTGCGCTCAGCTGACTTAGGAAACCACGGGAATCAAGAACACCATGCACATGAGACTGTGAGGCTGGCTCAATCATTATTCCGGACCGAGTCGTAAGAAGGGCGAAACTTCCATGTTACAATATTAACCTCTTCAGGGAGAAAAGTGGGGTAAGGACGCTGTGAGGCTCGACTGAGATCAAACACTCTGAGAGCTACAAAGTTGTATAAATCTAGGGTGGTGTTAGACCGTGACTCTCAGCCAATTGCTTTTCCTACCTGTAAAGAGTCATTTTTTTCATGGCAAGAGTTTAGCAATTTATCAGATGGGCTGGTCCTTATTAAAGCTCTTCCTTTTATGCAAAAATTAGACTAAAAGGAAGTCAATGTTTAAAAAAGCTTTAAAAAAACAACTAAGATGAGAGCTTTAAAAATAAAGATAGTACTTGGAGGTGCCAAGGAGAATGTATTTAAGAATTTTTTTCTGTAGTAGTCCAAGAAGAGAATCAGAAGGGAAGCGGTCATTTACATATTGTAGTTGAAGTGTCTAAGTTTTCTTTATCGGGTTTCATCTTTCTACTCGAAAACTTAAAAGAACTATAAAGAGACCATCCCAAATAAGGTTAATGGAAAAGTAGAGCTTTCCAGGGTACATGCAAACTTTGTCCCTTGTAGCCTTCTTCCTCTACCAGGCACTGGGAAGACGACTTAAAGAGAAGTTGTGCTGCACGGCGCATCTCCAAGCTCCCTACCCTCTCCGCACCGCCTCAAGCTGGGAAAACTTTGTTTACAGCAGGGGTTCCTCCAGGGAAAATGAAAGCAGGAGTGAACCAGTACTTGCTCCTTTAAACTCACCCAATTTCCTCAGTTACGTATCTTTCTATCACACCTACTTCAGGTTGGCGTAGAATACTTGGCCCCTCTGGACAACTCTAACTCTGAGTAAAGACACCAGCTGGAGAAACAACTGCCTGATCCCTGTTCTCCTATAACCATAAGCATTTGAGAACTAAAATATGATAGTATTTGAAAAATCAGGTTTCCTATCTTTTAAAGACTTGAATCAATAAATCACAAATAAATCTGGTTAATTTGCTCTTTTCTGATTTATAATTCAGACTAGTAATGAGGCTTCTGTTTGGTTACGTGGCTTAAATATACATAACCAAGATTAAGAACTATATCCATAACAAGAGTAAAGAAGGCACATGGATGTGTTGAGGGCTCTCCTGTGAATGTAGCATATTGGGCTGTGTGTGTGTTTTGGGGCTGTCCTCAGATTTGTGAGGGTCCTAGGTAAGCGATCTCCTTATCCTTTCATAGAATATATTTCTTTAATTTTTCTTATTTTTATTAGTAGTAGTAATGAATAGTAATGTAAAATGTTTACTCATAAAGTGCTTTCCTTAAACTGATAAGTAAAGCTTGACACCTGATTTAACTTTTTAAAAACTAAGCACACCTGTTTTATAAACCTAAATATGTATCAACTATGACCAAAACTTCATAGATGCCTCTTTCGCTCTGCCTTTTCATTTTATAGATGAAGAAACTGAGGCCCAGAGATCTTAAATACTAAGTAATAGGTAGAGAAGCATCCAGCTTCTGAATCTGATAGAACCAGAAACAAAATCCAAGGCCCCACCCTCCCAGGCCATGCTCTTGCTGTTGCACCACGCCAGCTCCTTTGTTTCTGCTTTAAGTTTCCTTAGAGAAAATGTTTTCCCTTGTTTATTTTTATGCCCATTTAACAAATGAGAAGGAAAGTAAATACCAAGTTAGATACAAGATTTTAAGCTTTTCATTCTAATCAGTCTCAAACGCTTTTTAAGTTTTGTTTATTGATGCAACACTTTCCAAGTTTACAATATTTATGCTTACTAATTTGCAAGAGAAAGGAAAAGCAAAACAATCTGTGACTGTGGACACACTGTCATGTGCACTGCAAGTGTGTTGTCATACTCACAACATCCACTGGAGGGAAGCAAACACGAGATTTTGAGCCTTACCTGCATTGGTGATTCACTTTCTGGTCGAAACTCTTCGATATGCTGCTGTTGCCAAGGAGCTAAGCTATAAGAGTCCTCTGTAGTTCTACCTTCCAAAGGATTCGTCCTCAACTGCTCTGTAAGCCACATCTGTGTCCTCACAGAAGGCTGAATGGGAACTCCCCCTACTGCCTGCTGACCAAGCATTAAGTATTTTGGAGGTTCAAAAGTCTCTGAGCTTGTCATAATAGGCTTGCTTTCAGGTAAGGCACTATAAGTCATGTCTAAGGTCTGTCTCCGAAGAGTGGAGGAAGCAGCTCTAAAGTCCTCTTTGTTACAGCTCTCAAATTTATATTTGCAGTCCAGAGTTGAAGATCGTTTTTTACTTATTTCCTTGTCCTCTAGCTTAAGCATCTCCATACTATCATGTAAGCAGCTAGGCCCAATTGTCCTTAGTTGTGATGTTAAAGCCTTGCCTCTCCCTGTCTTTTCCAAACCACTCCTTGACTCTTCAGTGTTTACACCACCACTCTGGCTGTAGTTATCCGGGGCAGTGAGTTTGGATAAAGATGACCATTTCCGGAGGGGCCGGAAGTCCTTCATGTCTAGTGAAGAGTCCTGCTCTCCTCTACTGTGGTTCCCCAAGGTTTGCATGAGGCTTGTACTCCATTTTGAGCCATCTGATGTCAATGATTCTCTATGTTTGGAAACCGAAGCACTGGAGTTAGACGGCATGACATGGGCAGTAGGAAGAGTAACCAACGATCGACTAGGCTTAAAAGATAATGTGCCACTTGAAGTTGAATGATCTGGAAAGAAAAAAGAGTGCTAAATTAGTTGAAATTAATAGGGGAAAAAATGAGGCAAAACACAAAAAAGCCAAAACAAAAATCTGAATATGGGTTGCCAGGACAAGTTTTTCAAAATAACGGACTTATTATTATTATAAGTATTCCTTTATCTGAAACAAATCAAACATACTTTCAAACATTATTTTCTAAAAATGGATACATAAAGTACATGTCCATTTACCACCTACTTACAAATGAAAAATGACTGGAAACAGGTTTATATTCAATGTAAGTATTGTGCCTTTAAAAGAAAAATCCATCTCCCTACTGAAAGGTCTTACTCATAATTTAGCACTGAAGCCTGAAACACAACTTTATCAGAAACTGGTATTTTTCAGTGTCTTTCCTAAATTGTGGAAATCTATGCCAAATCTGAACATTTTAGCATCTCCCCAAACTCTAACTCAAATCAGAAATATGGGTAAAGGAGCTCCTGTAATAATGGAAAACAATCAGACAGGATTCTAGCAATATATTTGTGGATACAGAGTAGTTCCCACATTCCTGGTCTCCTTAATGGCATCACCAATGATGTATTCCCCAAGCTAGAACTCCTGGAGTCTATTTTGATTCCTATCTTTCTCTGCAGATTCATTAAATCCCCAAGTTATAAATTTTTATTTCCAAAAGATTACATAGCTATTGCCTCAGGTCAGGACTTCACATAATATTATTCTACACACAGGAACAGTTTTAGTAGGCTCTAGGGAAGCTCAATGGATAAATAAGGGCCTCTATACTCAATGAACTTACCATCAAGTGCCAAATTATCATCAAATGTGCCAAATTAAAATCAAAGATTATAATTTTTATCAGAGGTTATCTAGAAAGAGGACAGCAATTTGAAGTGTGGGGGGAGAGAAGGTAAGTGATGAAAAGCAACTTTCACAGTTTATTCTATATCTTTGCATACTGTTTGACTCATATTTAAATATTACTTTTGAGCTTTGTATTGTTTTTAAGAAATAAAACAATGGGAAAAGAAATGTTGAGAAAGTCATAAGAAAATTCAGATGGGAAGATCCAGGCAAACTAATTTAAAAAATGAAATTCCAGTAGGTCTTTGCACAAAATTTATTTATCTGGAGATGAACAGGGAAAAACATTACAGATGGAGGAATTTGAGCAAAAGTATTACAGCGGACATTCATCACATTCAAGCTTTCTATCGGCTTCTGCAGAACCTTTCTGTATGCAGGAAAAGTATCAAACCTAACCTCCCAAAATAAATTTTAGGCCTCAAATTCCCAACATGCCCTGCAACTATGATGCAGACATTCAGAAACACCTGCACGAGATCTCAGTTTGGAAGTGAGTCACGTGAGAAAATGGGTTCCGTGTGGAACCACCATCTTTGGCTGGTATGGGCAACAGCAGGGGCATCAGCCTCCCCAGATGGCAGCAGCAGAGGCAGCCAAAGCAAGTTCTGGCCCAGGAGGGCAGCAGCTGGGCAGCACTGGTGGTTTCCCCCACTGTTGGGTGGGGCAGGAGAATGACAGTTCTCAGGGGTGTTTTGAGGGATACTGACTGCCTGGGCGCCTGGTTCTCCAGCCCTCCCTAAAACTTCTGTGAGGTACCAAACACCCTTAAATTCCTCATCTGCTCAGTCAGCCAGTCAGCTGCTTCTGCTGATTAAGAACACTAACTGATCCAAGTGTGAAGCCAGGAGAATGTGGCTCCAAAAGAAGAAAAACAAATTATCTCGTTTATCCACAGTATGGAATAAGGATCAAGAAAAGTTGCTCAAGATAATTCTTGACAGGTAAAGGTGAACCAGAGCTGTACGAGTCTTCAAATCCCCTGCTAAGGAGAGAGCCTGGCCTCCACTCAGCAAGAGATATGATATCACTGAAAGCTTCCAAACAAAGGCATGAGTGACGTGATCAACACTGTACTTAAGATGGTGACTCCAAAAGCAGTACTGAGGATGGATTAAAGCAAACTGATGGGCAACAGAAAGACTGACTATGATGGTAATCAGCAGAAGAAGGAAATAGAGGGGAATATGCTACTGAAGGTCAGTTCTAAATAGAAATACAACAAATGTTCCCCAAAAGTCTATGGAATATTTGTATTAACATACTATTGTGTCTATTTTTACATATATATATACATATATATATATATAGGTTTGTGTTATTATTCCTAAAGGAATATTTGCATTAAAATCATCATAGCCTCTTACAAATACATTTTTTAAGACAAAAAATGAGTTTTATATCAAATTTGAAATTTTCGGTTTTTTAAATTTAAAAAAATTTGTAAGTAAAGATATAATGTTAAGGTTATGTGTAATGGTTTTGAAATCAGCCTTTTTAAGATCTTATTTTTTTTCCTTTTTCTCCCCAAAGCCCCCCGGTACATAGTTGTATAGTCTTTGTTGTGGGTCCTTCTAGTTGTGGCATGTGGGACGCTGCCTCAGCGTGGTTTGATGAGCAGTGCCATGTCCGTGCCCAGGACTCGAACCGACGAAGCACTGGGCCGCCTGCAGCGGAGTGCGTGAACTTAACTACTCAGCCACGGGGCCAGCCCCTGAAATTAGCCTTTTTAGATTCAACTCCTGGCTCTACCACTTAGTAGTCATGTGTGCTCAAACAAGTTATTCAATCTCCTTGCATCACAATCATCTCGTTCATAAATGGAGATGACAACACTCAGGATTAAGTGAAATAATACACATAAAGTACTCAGAAGAATTCCTAGCACAAAGCAAAATGTTAATTATTATTAAACCATTAAAAAGCTAAAAGTAAATGTTATTTTCAGTATAGCAGACAAAAGGCTAAATATCCATACTATACAAAGAACTCCAACAAATAAAAAAACTAACAATCCAATTTTAAAATAGGCAAAGAAAATCAGTAAGTAAATCACCAAACAGAAACACAAATAAAGAATACATGTAAAAAAAACAGATGCTCAAACTCACCAACAGTAAAAATGCATTCCTTATTATATTCATAAAACTATTAAACGTTGCTAATATCCTACAATGATGGGCACATAAATTGTTACAGCCTTTGGAAGAAGAGGGGCAACCTGTACATATCAATATTTAAAATATGCAAACATACAAGTGAATATATGTAAACATGTACAAATGTGCATGTACATACATATATATTCATGAGCAGAAGAATATATCCAAAACTTAATAAACAAAGGTAACCCCTGCATAGTGGAAAGAGGAGAAAAGGAGAAAGATGCTTTCATTTTTTACATTACACAATGTCTTATTTTAATTTCTCTTCAAGGAGCATAACTTAACTATTTTGTCAAGCTTCTGCAAAGGTGTTTTGTTTTGTGACCTCAAAGAGTCTGAAATATCTCAAAGAACAGTTACTACAGTATGAATAAAACATCAAGTGACTGTCTCACTTTCCATGTCACAGTTGGAACCTCTGAGACCAGAGATCACCAGTCCTGCTGCTCCTTACATCTGATAATGTGCTACTTTCCTGGCTACCTTCGCTAGCTCACTACTTCCCAGGTACAAGAAAAATCAACAATTGGTGATGAAAGACAATTCCACATCAGAATGGTATCTACTCCTACAAATCTGAAAGCAACTGACATATGCTGTTCACTGAACATCACACCAACAAGACAATTTACTCCTACGTATCACTTAGCCGAAGTTCTCAAACTTTAGCATAGGATACAAGCTACCTGGGATCTGAAGCCCTACTCCAAGAGATTCTGAATCAGATAGAGCAGAGAGGTGTCCAGGAAATACCACTTTTTAATAAGTAATTCTGCTATTCTCTTCACTACGACATCATTCCACCTGAGTCTGATTCCAGTTCTGAAGCCTTCAAGCTTAAATATCCCAACTTCAACCAGTACCAACATCTAAGTTCTAGTGTAAAAATTGATTTACTATGACACTCAGAATTCATTACTGTCAAGACTAAGGAATAAAGCTTAGGCTAGTCGCACACATGTAGACATACATACAAAAGCAAACACAACACCAATAAATAAGAAGTTAAATATCTGATGGTATGAATATTTGAAAAAAGGCACTATTATCTCTTAAGAGATGAGTACAGGAAATATTAATTTTAACAATTTTAACACTTTAAAAATATTATTTTGTGCTAATGAGACACAATTAGAGGTAGACGCAATGCAATCCTAATGTGCTTTATTACACTACCTAATTGTAGCCACAAATCCCAAAGGAAGTCATTACGATGACATCTAGCCCATATTTAAGCTACAACAGTGAAATGTGAAACCAGCACAAGGTAGTCTCTATAAAAACCAGAGAACAGGATTTATAACATTCACAGAGAGCAAAGAAGAGCAAACAGCTTCAGACAGATTTCAGCTTGTAAGGGAAAAATATAAGAGGAGGACATTATTGTAACCTGATAATGCAAGTCACCTATATTTAAGATAACACATCTGAATTCTGAACATAATCCCAACCTTCTGTTTCACTGTCATGTTATTCTTATCTGGCAATAGATGAACACATCGATCCTATCTTCTGTTATATATAGGGATAGTCTCTCTCTCTGCTCTATCTTTCTTATAGTAAAAAGGAATTAAATTCAAAAAAGATTGACCTGCAACTAAGATATACAACTGTGTACAGGGTGGGTTTGGGGAGATTAAAGCAGGAAAAAAAAAAAGAAAGATTGGCATCAGTTGTTAGCCCAGGTACCAATCCTTAAAAAAAAGAAAAAAAGACCACGCCTTCTAGATCTATATTATAAAAATAAATCATGAGTCTTTATGGTAAGAAAAAAGTAATCAGGAAATTATATAACCCTGTATCAAATTTTCTGATTTAAATGGTAACAACTTAACACATGTATCAATCAACATGAAATATTATAACAAATATTTTATATTTTTAAATAAAAATGTTAACCCTAGCTCAAAGGCAATGATCAAGTTTTTATACAACACCATGATACTTTTTTCCTTTCCTGCTAATGCCATGATCA